TTTTATTAATAAATTACACAACTAAATAAATGACAAATAAAAACATAAATACATATAATATAATAAAATAGCTTTTAGTGTTAAGTTTAGTATTGTAGTTGTAGATGTACTTATTTTTAGTGCTAAAATTATACTAAAATAATGTAATTTTAATACAAAAATAGTGTTATAGGTTGGAAATGCTCTTACAACACTTCCACTAAACAACCTCTCTGGACCTTGTAGTTTAGTTGAGTCTAACTTTATCAAAACCACCAAATTATTAGAGAAAAGGAATTCCACCTATGCATAAATGAATATTAATAAATCCTAAACTACACACATCTAGTTTTATTTTGTACAAGGGCAGATATCATATCTCGTATCGAGAACTTTGCTTTTGTCGAAGGGTACTGCGCCATGAAGGTTTACTCTGCAACAGGGGGGGTCCTTGGTAGTTGAGTATGACACTAGACGGCCTAGAAGAAGATGTACATCGTACCCCATTTCTTCTTACTTTTATTTTTTCTCTTCTTTTTGACCTTGTTTTAAATTTTTGATTTTTCAATGTTTTACTTCATTTCTTGGGCCGGACCTTACCAGATATAAAGTCTAACAGGAACTTGGTCAGAGATCGATCCACTCGTGCATGATATACATGCATTAGACTTGAGCAATGGCAGACACATCCGTGGAATGGCTCGTCGGCTCGACATCTTGTGGTTTCAGAGTTCATCTATGTAAGTCTTTTTGAACTTGTGGTTTTTACTGAACCTTAACTAGTGTTGTTAATTTTTTAATTTTGTATTTTTTTTCTTTATCAAGGTTTACATTTGGGTTGCAAAGTTGAGCTACGACTAATATGTTTTGGTCAAGAACAACATTGCTGTGTATACTACTTTTGAATTTGCTATTATGTTGCCTCTCATTTGGCTCTGGTAGAGTACGGTATCCTGGATAGTAAGACCATGTCCATCGGGACTTCTAAAGCTAGGGTCCTAAGAGAAAAAGGGGGAAAAAAGAAATGAAAAAAAAGAAATGAAGGGAGCGCGACTTAAATTAACATTTTAAGAAGTGGGTAAGGAGCCTTACGTGGCATAATATTATTCGACCGCATACTAATGTCTCTCTCTCCTTTCGTCGAGAATTCTTGAAATCTCTTTTGTTTCTCCTCTTCTCAAAATGTCGAACTCTCTCTCGAATCTCTGTGAATCTGAATACCATCTCGAATCTCTGTCGATGGTGAAGCTGATCCTCACTGGATTTACCGTCTTCTTCCTCGCGGTGTCGATGTCGTTTCTCTCCCACGCTTCAAGTCTCCGAGGAAGATTAAAAGAGAGAAGTCACTTCTTAAGAGGAATCGATGTCAAAAGCAAGCAAGGATCGCAAGTATCACAGAAAAGAGACGAGATAAGTATGAAAATCCCTGTCTCTGTAGAAAAATAACTTGTAAAATCTGATGTCCTTGAGAAGGTATTTTGCATGATGATGATTTTGCATGATGATCTTGGGGAAGATGAAATGTTTTACCAGTAGATTATCGTGTGTGTGTTAAAAAAATCGAATCTTTTGCTGGGGAACCGAGTAAGTGTTTGTTGATTTTAACAACTGATGATGATGAACTTGGGTTTCTTGATTGAGTTTAACTTCTGATAATGGTTAAGCTTCGTATGTTTGTTTTAAAAATCGAATCTTTTGCATAGAAACCGCGTAAGTCTTGGTTGATTTTAACAAGTGCTGATGATGATCTTGGGTTCGTTGGTTGATTGGTTAACTTGTGAGGATGGTTAAACTTGGTGTCTCTGTTTTAAAAATGGAGTCTTTTGCATAGAAATCGAGTTAGTGTTGGTTGGGTTTAACAAGTGATGATGATGAGATTATTGTTTTTGATTTCCTATTGTTAGATAGATTCAGATACCCCATGTCTATTGTTTCTGGTTTTTGTTTTCGTTTCTCTTTGCGTAGAACAACCTTTTAAGTTAACTTTGTTTGTTTGTTGTCTGAGGGTTGAGGATGTGCGTTGAAGGAAGTTGATGAGTGTGTCTAATCATTCATTACGGAATCAAGTCTCAGAACTGGAAATGGATTCAGCGTCATCGAAGCTTGTCTTTCACTTCACAGTTGAGAAGAGGTAATTAAAAGCTTCTTCTCTGTAATTGAATGGTGTGGTTGTGTTTAGGTTTAGGTGTCGATATTAAAAGCAATATTCTTAAATTCTCAACAACTAAAAAACTTTGAAAAACTTAAATTCTCAACAACTAAAGCTATTCCCTTCCCCAAACCTCATTAAAAGCTTCTTCTCTGTATTTAAATGGCGTGGTTGTGTTTAGGTTTAGGTGTCGATACTGATTGTCATTAACAACTAAAAACTTTAAAACTTAAATACTCAACAACTAAAAAACTTTAACAGCATTAAAACTTGTCTTTAAATGTTCAACAACTTAAAACTTTAACAACTATAAAAGCTGTTGCAGGAAGTCATGGAGAGAATGAGGCTCGGCCAGTAGGTGTTAAAGCAGCAAAAGCTAAAGCAAAAAAATCTGTGAGTAAAGATTCAGGAGAAGGTAGCGAGTTGCTGGGAATTTGGGAGATTCGGGAGAAGGAATATGCTGAGAAAGATAAGCAGAATAAGCAGAAATTACTTGACAGCTTAATTACCAAGAAAGAGCCATTGTGTGAACTTGAAATGGCTTTGAAAATTAAGCTTCTTAAAGAGATGTTGTGAAGCTCATGTCGAGTCTTTGTGGTGAGTCTTTAAAAACATTTTCAAGTATGGTCAGTCGAGTCTTTGTGTTTCTATCGAGTATGTTTGGTCTTTGTGTTTCTACCGTGTATGTTTGGTGTATGCTGCTGTCTTTATTAAGTTGATGTTTAATAAAATTGAAGTTTATCTTTTGTGTTGTGCAATTGGACCATTCTAATGTATCTTTTGTGTTGTGTTGAGCAAGTGGACCATTCTAATGTATCTTTGATCTCTTTGGTTTGTTGTAGGTGGATCACATGGGACACTCCGTGACAGAAGAAGACAATTCATGATATGTTTCGCATTTGCAGTTTTGTTGTTGTACCAAACTTGTGTGTTATTTTTCATGTTTACAAAGTAGGTGTACCAATTTCTGTAACAACCAAGTGTAGCTTGTCTTTATAATCTGCTGAGACACAAATCAAATGCTCTCAGATTTTCTTTATAAGTTATTCTCATTAACGATTTGTTTTCTTTCTTCTCGTTATTGTTTTCTTTATCTGAACAAAAACCGACAACAAAGACACGAGAGTTTTATCTTTAACCATTTCCTCACATCTTTAAGAATTTCCAAAGTTCTAAGCTTTTTTAATGGCATCTTCTTCTTCGTCTTATAATAATTTCGAGGAAATGGATGAAAGATTTGATCAAATTTTTGATGAAAGATTTTGAAAATCTTCTCATTCAGCATGGTGAACGTCAAGAAGAATCAAGGTCAAAGAAGAAACGAGCCTATATTGAAAGACATCAAGAACAAGGATAAATGCAGTTATAGAACGATTATTTTAGTGAAGATGCAACATATCCGTCTCACATGTTTCGACGTCGGTTTCGAATGAACAAGTCTTTGTTCCTGCGTATCGTTGACAGACTCTCCGCTGACATCCCATACTTTCAACAAAGAAGAGATGCTACTCCAAGGTTCGGTCACTCTCTGCTACAAAAGGCAACCGCATCTATTCGTATTATGACATATGCTTCCCCAGCTGATGCGGTCGACGAATACCTCCGACTTGGTGAGAGCACCGCACTTTTATGCTTGGAACATTTTGTTTAAGGAATCATAACTTTATTTGGAGATGAGTATCTAAGAAGACCCACGCCAGAAGATCTTCAACGACTACTCGATATTGGAGAGATACGCGGATTTCCCGGGATGATAGGAAGCATTGATTGTATGTATGGGGAGTGAAAGAATTGTCTGACCGCATGGAAAGATCAATATACATGTGGATCAGGAAAGCCAACCATTGTTTTAGAGGCTGTAGCTTCATAAGATCTCTGGATATGACATGTGTTTTTTGGACCTCCAGGTATATTAAACGATATCAATGTTCTTGATCGATCACCAGTTTTTGATGATATATTACAAGGTCGAGCTCCAAAGGTGAATTACATTGTCAATGGAAATGAGTACCATTTGGCTTACTATCTCACAGATGGTATTTATCCAAAATTGGCTACTTTTATCCAATCTATTTCACTTCCACAAGGTCCGAAAGCATCTTTATTCGCTAAACAACAAGAAGATGTACGTAAAGATGGTGAGAGGGCCTTTGGAGTCTTGCAAGCTCGATTTGCCATTGTAAAAAATCCAGCTCTTTTGTGGGATAAAATCAAAATTGAAAAGATAATGAGAGTATGTATCATTCTGTATAATATGATAGTGGAAGACGAACGAGATGGGTACAGTCAGTTTGATGTGTCGGTTTTCGCACAACCAGAATCAAACCGGAGTTCACAAGTGGATTTCGATTTTTCATCAGATATGCCTTCTAATCTGGGGAATATGATGAGGATTCGGACTCAACTCCGTGATCACAAAATACATTAACAATTGAAAGCTGATTTGGTTGAGAATATCTAGTAAAAAATTGGAATGAATTACGATTTCAACTAATCGATTTTTTCTTGTTTACGATTAGTATTTGTATTTTCAATATGTTGTAGTATCATCTTTTATAAATTTTTATGTACTTCATGTTATGAAATCCAATCATTCAACTTTTCAAAAAAAAAAAAAAAAAAGTTAAGGACCTCAATGAGATCCTACCATTGGAGAAGGAAAAATTAAATTACCTTAACCACAGTACTTAACTTTTCAAATCACTTTATTTATTATTAATTTATTGATTAGTAAGGGATCCTTATTGATGGATCTAAACATCCATGCTAATGCTGAATATTGATTTTTTCTCTTGAATTCATATTACTGCTATTATGTTGTCCAAACGTTTCTAAAACGGTCGCCAACCTTTTGCTACTTGTATCATATCCATAATAATAAGCTTCATTAAAAATTATAAAACCATTGAAAAAACAAAATTTTCAAAAACATTCAACCTCTCGTTCTGATCATATTACATTAATAATGAAAATGTCTAAACCCTTCAAAAAAAATGTTTTTCTTCGTTCTTGTGGCTTGTCCTTCCATATCTTTCATTTAAGATATTCTCTCTTTTACCTACGCTTATATCTGCATGAGAAAGAAAATGGAACATTTAACACACATTATTATTTACCTTAAATTTCATGATAATGAAGGAATCTTTAAGAACAGGCGATTGAAAGTCGAGTTAACTCACCGGCCCTTGCTTTTGAAAGAGTTCTTCGACTTCCCACGAGGTTTCGTTGAAGCCCCGGCCCCGCCTTGTTTCTTCTCGCTCATATCACTCTTGAACAGATCTTTCATCTCTTCATTTCGAGGCTGAGTTTTTGGTTTAGTCCGATTTAGGTTTTGTCTTTTGTTCGGCGTTGGTCTCTCCATCTTACCGGAATCAATAGCTCTCTGTTTTGCTTTTACGGCCTTTGCTCGCCTGTAACCAAGATCCACCAGTGTCAATCCTTTCTTTTCTGGTTCTTTCTTCTTCTTCTTGTCTTTACCCTGAAACCAAACACGTTCAATACAATGTTTGATCTTATTACAGAGACTGTGTAATGTGTATCACTGAGATATTTACCCTTGATCTTCCTTGTTTTTCGTTTTCTCCTTCTTCCTCGTCGTCTTCTTCTTCTTCGTTATCCTCTAGCATCTCTCTGGCAGCTTCAAGCTTTCTACGTTTTTTCCTTGGAAGATTCTTCTGTACTTGCATGATCAAGTAAATTGTAAGTTCTCTAGGAAAAAGATAATGAGAATACAATGCTAAACAGAAAAAGACTATGCAACTGAAAAGTGAAGAGCTTCTAGATAAACGGACCTCGCGTTCGCGTTTTCTCTTCTCCTTCATCTTGAGGTCCTCTGCTATATCAGCACTAACTAGTTCGTTTCCAGAAGAGTTTCCTGCAGAATCCTGTTTAGAGCAAGTAGCCAGAGTGATTCAGACAACAACCTCAAGAAAGATTCTATTCAAGTTTTGATGAATGAGAGAGAATGCAGTAATAAAAAGGACACCTTTTCAGCTTTGGATACGAGCTTCTTCTCCTTCTCTGTCATGAACCAAGTCCTTTTTGGGCGTGCATATATTTCATCTCTGTGCTCAATCATGTTCTCCGCCTTCAGATGTAAAACCATAATCACCAATGAGAAATCAAGCCAATGACAATTTACACAACTGATCAAACTGAAAACCCAGAGATGCCTACCTTTGCAAATTCCATTTCAGCTTTTCTTAGAGCTCTCTCTTCCCTAAAAGCAAGCACTTCAAAACTTAAGTATGCAGATCAATGAACAACTGAATTATTTGATTGGTATGAAATGGAACCTCTCTAGTCGAATAACAGCAGAGTATTGATCCTCCATTTCATCGATTATCTGAGACCACTTAACGATAGACTGCTCTGGGATAATTCTGCTCTTCAACTTTGAACCCACTTTCTTTGCCTTATAACCAAGAAACAAATTCAATTACACATTGTCATAACTAAAGCGGTAATGAAAATGGGTAATAGCAATATCCATGTATGTCTGATGATTTGCTTACAATGACTTTCAAAAGGGATCGGTCATTGTCAGTAACAAAGGTTACAGCATAACCTTCTCTTCCAGCCCTAGCTGTTCTACCAACTCTGTGAATATAACTGTAAATAAAAGGAAAAAAATGTTATCGTCGCATCAGTTAAGAATAAGACTGGGAGCTTTCTAATTCAATTATATCATTATCATACAGGGAATATCTCGTAGTTACCTGTCTATTTCCCGAGGACATGCATAATTTATAACCGTTTGGACACCAATAATATCAAGCCCCTAGAATTTCAAACACAAGTGTTCAAGAAGTGAAATAAGCAAAGCAACTGTGAAATTATACGAAAAATAAGCTATCTGCTTCGTATACTTACTCGAGCAGCAACATCGGTAGCAATGAGAAAATCAACCTCTTGCTTTCTGAAAAGTTCCAGAGACTGCAAAACAATACCAATAAGCTCTTGCAAAAGGCGAACCGAGGTATTCATGAACAAAAGCTGATGAGTCCAAGTTTCTTACATCAAGACGTTGTGCTTGAGTTAGATTTCCATGGAGCTCAGCTGCTTTGAGGCCAGCTAGTCCGAATAAAATTTTCAGTCTATGTGCTGCCTGTTTTGTTCCACTGGCACAAGAAGAGAAAACAAATATATAAATGAAATGCAAAAAGGCAAACTTTCGAAGTATTGTGTGGAAAGGTATCAAAGTTGTAGTGAAGTCTAACCTAAAGATGATCACTTTTGATTTAAAAGTTCTTGTGCATAACGAAAGAAGAACAGCTTCCTGATTTGCCTCACGCGTCCTCCTTATTCTTACCACCCTACAGTTAACATAACGAGTTAGTTGCAAGGATATGTGATGTATATTGAAGCTCATAAGCTGATGAGTAGAAGCTAGCATACTCCTCAGTCAGGCCTGGAGGCCTTCTAGCTGAAGGATCAGCTGAGAGACGCAACGGTTTGTTCAAAGAGAGTTTGACAAGCTCTTTAACTTCTTCAGTCATTGTGGCTGAGAAGAGCATTGTTTGCCTTCTCTTGGGACATAAGCGAACCTGTAAGTAGACATAGCCTCATATTTAAAATTAGACAAAAAAAGAGCCAAGAAACTAGAAAAGACAATGACAAATTCACAAGAGTTCAATATCATATGTTCACGAGAACTGAACATCAAACATAAAAATGTAAAGAAATAGGATAAATACCAGCTCTTGGATTTCAGTGGCAAACCCAGTCTGTAGAAGACGATCTGCTTCATCGAGAATCAAAACCGCTAAATCATCCAAATCGACAGACATAGAATTACGCAAGTGATCTATCATACGTCCAGGGGTCGCCACAACAATATCTGGCATAGACCTCAAAACAACCTCTTGCTCCTAATACAAGAAACCAGAAGGATTTAGTAGGCTTGCTACGATCTCAAGGCTTCCATTATGAAGACATTTATTAGAATGGATTTAAACTGGTTCTCAAAAACATCAAATAATGTAAAATGAGATCTGTAAATCTGAAACGTAAAGAGACAGATATGATTCATACCCTTACAGAAAGCCCTCCAACAATCAATCCACATTTGATATCAGTGAACTGTGCAAGCTTCTGAATCATACTGTGAATCCTGCAACACATTTCAAAAACAGAAATCAGCTTTAAAGGTTTAGTATTTTTGCAAGGGGGCAAAGTTATGCTACTAACTGAACAGCCAGCTCCCTGGTCGGAGTGAGAATAAGGACTCTTGTAGCAAAGACCCGCTTGGGACGGAACAACAACCTCTCAAGAGTAGGTAGAGCGAAAGCAGCAGTCTATTACAGAAAAGAAAACTAAAATCAGCATAATCAGAAACTCCACATTTATAAAAAAAAAAAAACTCGAGTAATTACTGCTCTGACCTTTCCTGAACCAGTGATGGCACTGGCACAAAGATCACGCCCTGTAAGCGCTAAAGGTATACACGCTGCCTGCATTTACAACATTCACCATTCAGAAACAAACTCTAAACTAAAAAACAGAGTGCTGAGGGAAGAAAGTGGACCTGAATAGGCGTAGGTTTCTTGTATCCAAGAGTTTCACAAGCTCGAAGCAACGGACGAGAGAGATTAAGCTCCATGAATGAATTAGCATGAAACGAAACTCCATCTACAGTAGAGAAGAAGGGCTTAGCAGCAACATCTTCTGCTTTCGCCTCTTCCTCTTCCGAAAGATACTCCTCCTCCTCCTTCAAGATTCAAATTCATAATTCAAATTTTCAAGATAACAAAGAGATTCATCAGTTCAGTATAAAGATTTAGGGATTATACTTGTTTGTCGGCTTCGGCGTCATCTTCTTCTACGGAGATGGGAAGTGGAAGATGTTTGATAGCTTTGGAGATCTTCTCATCGATAGAGGTTGTGTGACGGCGGGCGTGTTCTTCCCCGACGGAGCTTGAGTATGATGCGAAATCCCATGGAGATTGAGCATCGGTGCTTCCTTTCTTTGTAGGTTTATCCTCTTCATCTTCATCCTCAACTTCGCTATCTTCTTCTTCGTCGTCGTCTTCGCCAGGTTCTGCTTGAGCTTTAGGCTCTTCTTCTTCGTCGCTACTCTCTTCTTCGTGGTTTAGGAATTCGAGATCGTCGTCGCTAGCCGCATCGTAGAAGAAGGCCCCCGACATTGCTAGGGTTTTGTGAGGGTTTCAGAGAGGCTACCAACCGCCGGATTATCACGATGAGAGTTTACTAAATAGGTCTGCGAAAAAACCGAACCGAACTGATTTGGTTCGATTTAAAACCAACGAGTAAATTTATATATAGTTGTGAGAACCGATATGGTTCCATTTAACCATCAAAACCAACTTCGTTTCTTCCTTTCCAATCTAAATTTTGAGTAATCAATTTTTTATATCTTGGACTAGGCTAATGGAGTTAGATCTAATGGGCTTATATTATTACCAAGAAAAACCCGCCCTACGGCGGGTGAGTAAATGAAAAAACAATAATTTTTTTTTTTTTTTCATATACATTTAGAATAATTTATTTCTAATGAATATTATCAATCTTTGCTACTTATTTTTTTTTGTATTTTGTTAGAAATCACATATTTTCTAATTCATAAGAATATTTACCTTTTTAATTAATTTATTTATTTTTCCTTGTAATGTTTATTCTACTTTTATGATGAAATTATTTAAAATAAATTACTCAGAATAATAATAATTTTAAGTTCAATACATAAAACATGAATTAATTTGAAGTTAAATACATAAATCAGGAATTGTACTTATATATTATACATTTGTTTCTGAATTTAGTGTTGTCTTTTTCTCTTAGACATTTTCTTTTAAATCTATTATTTAAATAATATTCACAGTAAATCAATATAAAATTTGTTTTCTATATTAGCTGGATGGTGTGGCAATTTAATATCAAACTAATTTTTCTTATTTATAACACTTACTCATTAATTTTTAGAATAGTTTTTTTTTTTTTTTTAAAAGCTGAAACATGTGCTTGATCTTATTCATTGGTAAGAGCATATGCAATGGTTAATCCTTAGGGGGAGTCCTTAGATAAATATTAATTTTATAATTACTGGGTCCCATAAACAGTTAAGGATTTTATCCTTAAAATCCTTATTTAAGAATTGATCTTTGCACTATTTGCGGGCTCCACTGCACACGTGGCGGTACGCGAATGGTCCGCTTTTCTTTTTTTAAAGAAAAAAGTCCGAAATATCCTTATATAATCTGAAATGCCCTTTTTAATTTTCCCTAAGGATTTGGTAAGGATTATTGTTGCATATGCTCTAAGGCCAATAAAATTCAGGCATTTGTCAGAGTATATAGTTATTACCATTTTTCAGAATATATCATCGTTATCTTCCCTTGTGCAGCTTGTGAACAAAAAAATTAAGTTTATAATTAAAGTAGAGAATGCATAAGGTCGAGAATAGTGTTATATTTAAGGTCGAGAAAAATGATTTTATTTTTATTTTGTTTTGGAACTTGATTATAATTTAGATTTTTGAAACTGAAACTTGTGCTATGAAGCGACAATCGATTTTATTTAAAGTCTATATACCCAAATAACGTCAGTCTTCCATATCACTCTTTGCACTTTTTTGTTCTACTATTGTAGTTCTCTTCTCGTAAACGCTGGTGAGTTTTCAGTAATGTAATTGCATTATCTTGTTACGTTGATATCATTCTCCAGCTTAAGAAGTCGAGACGTGTTGAATTTTTGAATATAAGAGAAGCAAAACATGAGATGATCATATTAACGTATAACTTAAACCATCGTCTCAAGCTATGCACTTTGCAGAAGCTGTTTATAATTTAAATGACCAAATTTTTTTAAAAAATAATAATATTATTGAAAAGGGAAACTGAAAGCAAAGCTGTTTACACTTAATGACTTTTATTCTTCATATAGAGTGTTCTGGTTGTGTGTGGCATAAGTTTCTGTTCAAACACTAACCCAAGCAACTACCAAGGAACATCTAAGGGTCTGACTAGTTCTCCCGCCATCACCCTCAAACGCAGCTTTTACGGTTGGTAGCGGTTGTTGGCGTTTTGCAACAATCACAGAAAACGCTATAAACCGCTTCAAATCGCTCTGAATCTCTAAATTTCAGAAGCTAGTTCCAGCTAGCGTTTGCGGTTGCGGGTGATTGCAGGAGGATAAAAAATATTTTTTTTTCCAAAAAACTATATAAATATAAAAATAAAATATTCAGTTAAAATTTTAAATTAAAATGATTAAGATACTGAAATATTTATATTATAAAATTTCCAAAAAATATTTTCTTTACTTTTTTAAAAATTTAAGAATGCAGTTTTTCAATAAAAATTTTATATTTATTATGAAAATATGATTTTAATATTTTGATAATTATATAAAATATAAATATTGTTAATTTATTACTTAACCGCCGTTGTATTTGATGTTAAACCAGTCATAAGTATCCCGCAAACGCAACAATTTTTAACCATTGAACCAGTCGTATAAATCTCTTACTAACGCTTAAAACCGCAATCTCCCGCATCCGCAAACGCCCGCAACCATAACTGCAATCGCTGCGTTGTAACCACTCAGGCCCTAAATCAAGAGAAACAACTTTAATAACTTACTTGAAGCTAATTTCATGGCCGCCTCCAATTCATCAGCCAGAATCAATCAAGAATTTGCACTTCAGCTTCACATAGCTTCACAGAAAGATTTAAAATTTGCAAGGGATGAAATGTTTGTCAATTAAATCAATAGGTAGACGCAAATCTAACATCTTCAAAGTTAAATTGCATCTAGAATTTTTCATGAAATAACTAAGCGTACTTGTTACCACCATTATATATCAATATAGACTTGAGAGATCCACAAATATCTGAAACTTTCAGTGGAACTATCAACAACACTTTTTTTTATTTATGAACACCTTTTTTATCAACAATACTTCTCTACATGTTCTAAGCTCAATCTCTTGAAGATTCTACAGAACAAACTGAGGAATTTTGTTTCTCTAATTGTTCCAAGTGATTTCGGACTCAAATTATTTAGCTTTACGCATCAATTCCATAGCCCGTTAACTCTAGTATCATCTGCCTGGATCCGGGTAACGAAACTGACTCCAAATCCAGTTCGACAACTTATGGGTATGGTTTAGACCCGATTAAGGAACGTGAAGAGTTTCTCGAGCATACCTCGATAAGTCCTTGAGAGATGGAAGCGAAGCAACCTAGAACGGGTCCTAACCGGTAAACAACAGAGACATGGCAAATCGAGTCCTCTTCCTTTGGGTGTTTCTTCCTCTCCGGCGAGAAACGATCCGATGGTATTTCCTCCGACGTCTCCAGCCAAACAGATGCTTTCTTGATCAAACGGGTTGAAATGCTATTGGAATTTTGAGAATGATTCTCAATATATGAGGCCTCACCTATTTATAGGTAGATATACACCGTTTGGATGAGGTAATGAGACATTGAATGCATACTCGCGGTTTATTGGATCGGAAGTGTAAAGAACTCTTTTATGATGTTGAATTAGTGAACTTGTAACGCCTATTGGGAGAAGAATCCAATACGAAACGATGCCAAAAGACCCGTGAACGACGATGACTCGTCTCTCTGATACTTTCATAAACTTCATAGATGTTAGATGTAAAATGATTTGGAGAAACGATGAACCCTTAACCAAAAAAGAAGATGGGGAACCCTAACGGCGAAAGGATCTTTACCAAGCCAAGGGGATTAAAGGGCTAAGTTTCTGTAAATATCAGGCCCAAAAATTGTTTTTAAACATACGTAATAACAACTTGTGTAAAATCTATTTGCAACCCAAACAAAACCGAGTGAGACACGTGGCGCTCTAAGGTTTATTACGTGGCAGCTTAAAAGTAGGGAAAACTCTACTTTATAGTATTAGATATTCTTTTCTATATCAAGAATTTTTATTACTGATGGATGGCTTTTTTATAAGAAACTAGGGTCTTTGTTCGCGATACGCGCGGATTATCTACTATAGGGTTTGTTTTGTTTTGTTTTTATAATCTATTTAAATATAAGAAAGTTTTATATGTTATTTAACAAAAAAAAATCAGTGAATTGATAAAAAAAAAAACACAATTTTTCATGTTTAAAGTTCGCAGATACCATTTTCCTTATCAAAGATATTTTTATTTTGTTAATAAATGTATGGTTAAGTGAGTAAGTTTTGTTCTATTAAACAATTTTGGATGGGTTTAAAAAAATTCTTCTGCATTTGAGCAGGTTGCTATGTCTTTGTTTAGCTATATTAGTAAATATTATAAATTTAATTGTTTTGTGTTTGGTGTTTTATCTTCTCCATGCATTACACAATTACTTGTGTGTTTAGCTTAACAATTTCACATCATATAGTTATATAGTATTATTTATTTACTTACTACATATATCTTGTTTGAATTAATTGTTCTAGATAGATATTTCTATTCGGTATCTGAAATTCTAAAATACACATGTCAAGATGTTCTATTTAGAAACATATGCTAGCATATAGAACTAACTCATCATATTATCTAAAAACAAAGACAATCAGATGTTTGAAATAAGCACATACAATAAATGGTAAACATAGACGACCTAATATTTAGTTTAAAGATAAACACAAAAACATTAATAAGAACACAAAACATGATTTGCAATTTAAAAGCAAGCACAACCTGTAATTTCAACACCAACACTAATAAGCAGAGGAAGAATTGCTGCAATTTAAAAAAAGACGATCAGTAATTTGGAAATAAACACAAACTTAATTTTAAAAAAAAAATGCCAGCACAAATAAGCAGAAAAATGACATGTAACTTAAAAAAAAATCTCATCCGCAATTTGAAAACAAAAATGAATTCGAGTTTAAAAGAAACACAACCGGTTGTTTAATTTAGAAACAAAAACTAATAGTCATACTTAACATAAGTTGTTATTTAAAAAAAAACCCGAATTCTGTAACTTTAAACAAATATGATAGACAGATCAGTACGAGGGTGTGGTAAATTAAACAAACAACTAAATAGTGTAGCTCTACTTACATAAAAACCACAATGAAATCTCGAAATAATAAAAAGTAACAAAAATGTTAGGTTTGAAAAATGTGACGACACTGATTTACCTCTAAATCTTTTTGGATAGGTGGTTGCCACCAAAAGCATGGAAGGAGTACTTCTACTTCTG